TCACCAACATTCTCAATCCATTTCCTTTTCTGAGGCCTTGACTCATTGGTTATCTTCTTTCCCTATTGCACTTTCAAGCTTTTCCTCCATTATCTCTTTCCACTTACAAGTACTTCCCACATTCCACTTATGTGCAAGCTAGATTGTTTTCATCCTCTCCAGAAAGCTTAACTGAATCCTATGTGCTTCTCTGGCCAGTACCCTAATTATGACCTTTCTTTTTTATTCAGGTTTATTGAAAGGATGTTCTTTTTTTTTTTTTTAATTATACTTTAAGTTCTAGGGTACATGTGCACAACGTGCAGGTTTGTTACATATGTATACATGTGCCATGTTGGTGTGCTGCACCCATTAACTCGTCATTTACATTAGGTATATCTCCTAATGCTATCCCTCCCCCCCACTCCCCACAATAGGCCCCAATGTGTGATGTTCCCCTTCCTGTGTCCAAGTGATCTCATTGTTCAATTCCCACCTATGAGTGAGAACATGCGTGTTTGGCTTTCTGTTCTTGTGATAGCTTGCTCAGAATGATGGTTTCCAGCTGCATCCATGTCCCTACAAGGACACGAACTCATCGAAAGGATGTTCTTTAACCGCCTAGCTCTATATCCTTTCATTGTAATGTAGCTTGCTCTTCCACCACACCCTTGAAACTGCTCTCACTAGAGTCAGCAATGACCTCTCAATTGTTAAATCCAGGGAACATTATTCGAGGTTGTATTTGATTACTTTCCTTCATTTAATGCTGTTGACCACTCCCTTGTCCTCGATACTCTTCTTCCTCTGCTTCTGTGACTCCATTCTCTCCTGGATCTCTTCCACGTCTTTGATTCTTCCTTCTTATTTTCCTGGAGTGGGGGACCTCTTCTTCACCCATCTCTAACATGATGGTGTTTTCCTGGATCCTCTTTTTAGAGCTCCTATTCTCCTTTCATATTCTCCCTTGGTGATCTCATCGACTCTTGAGGTTTAAAACCTCCAATATACTGTCAACTTTCAAATCTACATCTCTTCATGGAACCTCTCTCCCAAGCCCCAAACTAGAGTGTCTAAATGCTTCACAGATAGTGTTTGAATATCCCACAAACACCTCAACTCAGTATCAAAAGGCAACTCATTCTTCTCCCATCTAATTCTCTAGTATTTCTATTCTTGGTTAAGGTAGCACCATCTGAGTAGTCAGACAGGGTTTTTTTTTGTTTTTTTTTGTTTTTTGAGATGGAGTTTCACTTGTGTCACCCAGGATGGAGTGCAATGGTGCAATATCGGCTTACTGCAACCTCTGCCTCCCAGGTGCAAGTGATCCTCCTGCCTCAGCCTCCCAAGTAGCTGGAATTACAGATGCACGCCATGATGTCTGGCTAATTTTTGTATTTTTAGTAGAGACGGGGTTTCACCATGTCAGCCAGGCTGGTCTTGAACCCCTGACCTCAGGTGATCCGCCTGCCTTGGCCTCCCAAAGTGCTGGGATTACAGGCATGAGCCACCATGCCCAGCCGTCAGACAGGATTAAAATGTGGGTATTGTCCTCAACTCCTCTGACTTTCTTACCTTAGATCAATCAAGCACTACCTCTTGCCAATATCACACTCTACATATTTATTGAATATGGCCACCCTTCTCCATCCCCACTGCCTTAGTTCAAACTCTCATTATCTCACTTGTGTGACTGTAATGACCTTCTAACTGGCCTCCATCCCTCTGGGTCCATGCCTTACACCACTACCTCTGCCCTCAACCATATCTATCCTCCACACAGTGACCAGAGAAACTATACCTCCTTGATTAAACCCCTTCAGTGGCTTCTTGTAGACCAAAGAGCAAAACTCAACCTCCTTAGCTAGGCATGCAACGCCTTCACTGCCTGACCCCAGCCCTCTATTCTGCCACTTCCCCTGCCCTCTATTTGAAGTATCCTAAGCATTTTGTGCTGTTTCATGTCTCTCTGCTTTTACTCATATTTCCCAGAAAATTTTAACCTTATTTGACTACATCCCACCCTCCCATGTTATTCTTTTGCCTCCAAGATTCAACTCAGTCATTGTATCTTCTAGGATGTGTTCATGACTCTTTTAACTTGGCTAAAGTGCATTTTGTGACTACTTCATTATAAAATGGTATACTGTGATACACACACACACACACACATTGCTTCTCTTACAAGTGTGAAACAACAAGAGGGCTGATGACATAAGAAGGAATAAATGGTGGAGACAATGAAAGAGTACAGGGGAAGAAAGGGAAGGGAGTAAGAAAGGAAAGAAACAGAGAACAAATTGTGCACTACCACCAAAACCAAAGGAAGAGAACATTTCAAGAAGGAAAAAGTCACCAAAGATGTACAGATGACAAATAAGTATGAAAAGATGTTCAACACTGTTAGTCATTAGCAAAATGCAAACTAAAACCCCATTGAGAAACATCTACATGCCCTTTAGAATGGTTAAAATGTAAAAGACTGACTATCTGAGTGTTGGCAAGGTTGTGGAGGACCTGGGACTCTCACACACTGCTAGTGGAAATGCAAAATGGTGCAACCACCTTGGAGAACAGTTTGGCAGTTTCTTAAAAAAATTGAACATATACTTACCATATGATCCAGCCATTCCTCTCCTAGGTATTTAACCAAGAGAAATGAAGCACACATCTATACAAAGATTTTTACACAATATGTTTATAGCAGTTTTATTCATAATAGCCAAGAACTGGAAGGAATCCAAATGCCCATCAACAAGTGAATGGATAAACAAATTGTAGTATATCCATACAACAGAATAGTACTACTCAGCAATACAAAGAAATAAAATATTTATATCCACAATAATATGAAGACAATAAAGAGCACATAAGGCATGATTGCATGCATATTAAATTCTAGGAAATGCATTCTCATCTATAGTTGCAGAAAGCCAAGCAGTGGTTGCTTAAGGAAGAGGTAAGGTGGAAAGGGTGCTATGGTCATAATTTGATTGTGATGATGGTTACACAGTTGAGTACGTATACCAAAGCTAATCCAATTGAATGCTTTAAATTTGTGTCATTTATTGAATGTCAATTATACATCAATAAAGCTATTATTTTTAGAAGAAGAAGAAGGAGGAATCCAATAGATTTGAATATAGAGGGAAAAGTCAGAGAGTAGGGATTAAAATGAGACCACAAAAACTTCTTGCTGATTCTCACAGCAGTTCTGCTAATGAAATCAGGGTGAAAGCTAGAGTGCCAGAGTAAAGGAGCAAGAAGGGGCTGATAGATGTGTAGAAGGAGTGCGTGTTTATTGCTCTCGTATTAGTCTGCTAGGGCTGCCATAACAAAATACCATGGACTAAGTGGTAGGAATTTATTTTGTCCCAGTTCCGGAGGCTGGAGGTCTGAGATCAGGGTGCCAGCATGGTTGTTTTCTGGTGAGGGCTCTCTTTCTGGCTTGTACATGGCTGCTTTACACTGTGTGCTCACACTAAAGGACGGATGGGTGGGAAGCAAGTGAAGGAGAGCCCCGGTGTCTCTTCCTCTTTTATAAGCACAGCACCATGTCAGACTAAGGCCCTACCCTTACGACATCATTTAAACTTTATTACTTCCCAAAGGCCCCATCTCCAAACACTATCACTTTGGGGTTAGAACTTCAACATACAACTTTTGGAGGGACACAAACATGCAGGCCATAATAGCTCTTTAAGAATTGGGGAAGAAACTTGAAGGGGTAGGAAGATTAAAGAATAAAAAACGAAGTGAACACATTTGTAGGAAGGGACTTGGACAAGAGGAAGCAACTGAGAATAGAGGTGAGTATGAATACTGGGCATGGTTGGAATGGAGAGTGCAGGTGGGGGGTCAGGGAGTTAATGACTTAATTCAGCAGCTTCTGTGGCCCAGGCAGGCAGGAAGCTAGGCGATAGAAATAGGTGGACTCATCGAGTCCTTTCACAGCCCCATGTGATTGGTGGGGGGGTGGCGTTACCTTCTTTTTCTGGGTGAGGAAACAGGTTTTGAGAGGTTAAGAAAAAGAGACAAGATGAGCAGCTCAGTGTCAGCATCAGGATCTGATTGCAGAGCGTGTGCTTTCTTCCCTCTCCCTTCACTCATGACCTTATAAGACCTCCCTGATCCCCTGAACTACAGATGCTCGTATTTCCAAGAGACTGGGATACCTCAAGGGTCTTCAGAAAAAAAATCTGGTGGAAAACTTTAGATTTTTTTACCTAGGATCTTTTTTCTTTTTCTCCTTATGTCTCCTATGGTAATTCTGCTATGGGTAACTCCTTGTGTCTTTCATTGAAGAATGATCTTTCCTTCAAAGCTTTAACCTTTTTCTTTTAGTTAGTAGTTTAGAAAAATATAAATGAGTTCCATCCATCATGCCCTGCAGCTCCATAGCCAATGGAGCTGGAGTATTGGAAGACATGAATTTCCCTTTTATTTCCCCATTCCTCATTCCTTTCTCCCTCCTTCTCCTCTTTTTCTCCCTCTCCCTTCTCCCTCCCTTCTTTGTCATTATGTTGTGCATGGTGGCATATACAACACCCCTCCCTCTGCCTAGGTGCCCTGTGGGAACTTTTCAGATCTTATAGCCATGAAAACTATTATTGGTATTCCTTGAAAGACCTCTGTACACAGAGCACACTAGCCACTTTGTAGAATGGAGATTTTTTTCTCAGAGCATTTTAGACAACTGCACTTTCTTCTGAAAATAATCACACTAATGCCTCACCTCTTATTTGTGCAAAATGTTATCTCTCCTCCTCCACTCCACTCTTTTCCCTTTCGTCTCCTCTCCTCCTCTTCTCTTCTTTCTACTCCCCTGTCACATGTACCCAGGTCTTTCCTTGCACTGGGGATCAGTTGTGGCTGTGAGATCATTTTACAGCAGTACTTCAGGACTTATTTTATTATTTATTTACTGCCCAACACATTTTATACTTATTTTTTACTTATACAAATTTTTTACTTATTTACTGCCCAACACATTTTATTTACTTTGTTTTAAAATATTTTAGGAAATAAGTTCAAATCTGAGAACTCATGGTGGAATGGGCCCAACCAGAAGAAGACAGTCCAGAATTGTGAATGGTGTAGACGGCTCACTGATAGCCCCAACTCCAAAAGTCCCAGCTGCTCTTACTCATTCTCCAGAAAGATTTCAGGCTACCAAAAGGTACTGTACCTGGTGAGATGGAAGGAGGGATACTGCTTAGAATAACAAAAGTGTCCTCTTTTAAGTCAATTAATAAACAGTATTGGGGGGATTGAAGGAGTCTAAACTCCCGGAGTGACTAGCATCTTATATAAAGACCTTGTACAAATACTGAGAGGGCTCAACTCCTTCCAATATACTCCAGTCAATAAAGGACAGTGAACAGTTCCTCAATTTAACCTCTTCTCTTTTTCCTCCCCTCTTCTCTTTTCTCTTTCACTTCCATTCTTCTCTCTCTGTATATTTTTCAGACTCCAAAGAGTGTATATCACAAGGAAGGCCTTTCCAAATTCTCCAAATCTATTTAAATTGAGAAGCACAGAACTGTCCTCACTTTTTTTTTTTTTTTTTTTTTTTTGGAGTCTCGCTCTGTCGCCAGGCTGGAGTGTGCAGTGGTGTGTTCTCGGCTCACTGCAACCTGCACCTCCCGGGTTCAAGTGATTCTCCTGCCTCAGCCTCCCAAGTAGCTGGGATAATAGGCAAGCACCACCACGCCCAGCTAAATTTTTTGTATTTTTATTAGAGATGGGGTTTCACCATGTTGGCCAGGATGGTCTCATTCTCCTGACCTCATGATCCGCCAGCCTAGGGCTCCCAAAGTGCTGGGATTATGGGTATGAGCCACCACACCTGGCCTTTTTTTTTTTTTTTTTTAAGATGGAGTCTTGCTCTGTCACCCAGGCTGGAAGGCTGTAGTGCAGTGGCCTGATCTCAGTGCACTGCATCCTCTGCCTCCTGTGTTCAAACAATTCTCCTGCCTCAGCCTCCCGAGTAGCTGGGACTACAGGCATGCACCATCACACCTGGCTAATTTTTGTATTTTTAGTAGAGATGGCATTTCACCATCTTGGCCAGGCTGGTCTTGAACTCCTGACTTCAAGTAATCTGCCTGCCTCAGCCTCCCAAAGGGCTGGGACTACAGGCATGAGCCACTGTGCCCAGCCTGTCCTCACTGTTCTAACAAAGATTCTAACATTGCTTAGAATAATAGGATGGTGAATTATTGTCAGAGAAGCATGGCCTCTCCAGAGACATGTCTACAAATCAGAGATGCCCTATTCTGTGTGGATCTCTTTTCACCATGACAGAGAAAGAGAGACATTCATACTCTATAGTATGAATTACTTTGTAATACTCTGTATGATACTCTGTCTGAATATTCTGTAAATCATACTCCGTAGTATGATTAGTCTGAGTATTTTATCGGGGCCTACCAATGACACTCTAATTGAATTCTGGCAAATTTAGAATAAAAAATAATAACAGGCAAAGCAACTCTGCTACTCAAGATGCTGTTAGTCTGACACATGGCCAGAGTTCAAGTGTATTAAAGTCCACATTTCCAATGTGTAGATGGAAGATTTAAGACCAATATGTCAAGTCAAGAGGACCTTGGGAGTTCATTTCAATCTAAATATTCCTACAGTCAAGGCTAGGAGAATGCAAAGGGAGACGGGTAGTACAAACACTGGGCTTAGGACTGAAAAAGGACTGCTGAAGCACGCTTCAGGCACATGGGGTCCCCAAGCAGGATGTGACATATCCGCATCCCTGGTGAATAATCAGAAACACCTGAAGCAGGCAAGAACCATGGAGACACAGCCACCTGCCCTCCTGCTGCAATGCCCGTTATACACATTGTCTTTCTGATTCATATCCACATACCTCCTGCCTTGGGCTCCCATGTTTCTGTTCACTTGTCAGGGCTCCAGAGGCCTTTGTGTCTATTCAACTGGAAAAGGTGGGGCTGCGGGACATGATGCTGAATGCCTTCCTCCTGAGGAAACAAACCATGGCTGACAGAATGAAGAGCCCTGTGAGTGTGTAGTGACAAATGCTGCCTAAAGCTCTGGTCCTCTTTTGTATTTAAGCAAATGAAAATTCTTCACTTGGAATCTGTTGATCTGATGCTTTCAACCTATTTGACTAGAACCATTAAAAATATATTGTAAAGAAGTGAAAAGGGAAGTTGAATAAGAAGTAGAAAGGAATCAGTTCAAGTGGATTACAGTCATGCTTTAAAAATGTATGCATTTTCCCAATGCTGCATTTTTGTTTTGTCACTTTCTAAATGAACTAGTTTCAGCACCTGCACTGGAACGTTCGCCTACTCTTGAGTGACCCACAGGGGTTCGGGGATTAGACAAGGTAAACAATGGCTCTTACCCATCTGGTCACCTGATAACCATCTGGTTATCTTGGTTTTTCAGACACTACCACAATGTTTGTGTTTAAAGGTTTTTATATTAGCCTAATCTATTGAAAAATACTAAAACTAAAAACTTTATTCAGTAAAAAGTCTTCCTTAATTTTGCAAATATCATTTCATTATTAATTTTTTGATGAGAAAATCATTATGGTAATACCTAGTTATTTAGGAGGAAAATGACAAGATTTATAATTGTAGGCTTTCTTCCCTACTTGTGACTTTAAAGGAAAGACTTAAATTTACCTAATCTAGTTCTACAGATGGGATATGACGAGGGCCAGCAATTACTGCTCAGCCATAATAGAAGCAAAGGGTCCCTTCTAATAAGCAATTCTCAAAAAATATTGACCAAGTGGAAAAAATATAATCATTCATGAACTGACCTTCAGGATTATTCAACTCCTATCAGATCAGAAAGAGCTCAGGCACTATAATTACCTGTATTAACTGTGTCAGGGTCTGGGGACTGCTTACTGGCTAATAAGTTAACCTGTTACTGTTCCATGGATGCTGACAGAAGGCACACAAGACTCTTCTGTCAGAGACAGAGAATTTTATTATGCACAGCAGAGTAGACAATATGATCTTCATGTCTGTGTCAGTCCCACGGGGACAGTGTGGAGGAGCCTACATGCAGGTAGTGGCTTGTGTCACAGTGAAAATCAGTGAGCTTGGGGAACCTACCGCTTTTATAATAAGCCTGCTCTTTTTCCTGGAGGGAGACATTACCTTATCGCTCAAGACTGCTCTCTGCAAACACAACCCTGAGAAATGGTTGTGAGGTAAAGTGTGATCAGAGCCTTGCATCCTCGGCATACTCAGCAAGATGGGTAGGAGCGGGAGAGAGACACAGAGGAGTGCCTCCCAACAAGCTTAACCTAGAAAGAATGTCTCAGCTCTGTAGCCTTTTCCTGCTTGAAATTTGCTTTAAGTTTGTACACATGTACTAGGGTGGGGAGTTCTTATAGCCAACTGTCTACTAAAAATATCATTCTCCTTTATCACAGGATGAAATTGGAAAAGTCAAGAGAGATGTTATAGTTGAATATTGTCAGAAGTAAGTATAGTACATGTGAATAACACATGCTGATTTCTCTGATTCTGAATGTAATAACTAGCAGTTTTATTGGGTAAAATCAAGTTAAACTGTCCTTTGACATGCATAAAAGCATCGGAAGTGAAGGATAGGGGTCGTTATGAAGGGGTTCATGCCTCTGCCTTCAGGCCATAGCCACCTGACCCAAATGGAAATTTCTTCTTGGTAGAAGTACTCTTTCTCTTTGAAAAGTCCTCCAGGGATGTAGATCCTGGAGCTTCTGTGAGAGGTGGAAGAATTTGGATTCTCCTTCTGGACATCCTGTCTTCTGACTTTCAGGTTTAACCACCGCATGTCTCACTATGCTCTTCGGGGTCAGATCATGGCATACTGCAATAGCCTGAGAAATCTTCTGGAAGATTTTCCTACCATCAGGGACACCTTTTTCATGGTAGGGCAACCACAAGAGAAGAAGGGGTTGAGAGACTCCAAGGAGGGCCTCAAGGCTGACCCCAGGTGCGTAATTTCCTTCAGTGTTTATTACTCTCCTTCCCTGGCCCTACTTCTCCCTGGGGAGAGGCATGTTAAGTTTAATATTAAACCTTTCCTCCCTTTACTGCACTTGACCTTGATTTTCTTGTACAAAAGGGTAAAAGGAAGAGTTAATACTCCAAGAATAAGAGTATCTTTGTATTTGAACCCAGAAGGGGTTCCTTGTTTATGGGCTGTTTGACTGCTTTTTCAATCTATACAGTTTTGTTTTCCCTGGGGAGCCCAGAAATTTTTAATCAGTCACAACCCTTTACATAGCCAGCATCTAAAATAATCAAACAAATAAGTAAACTTGATCTTGAGCTGTCTTGGCTTCAAATATTCTGCTCAATGGAGTAGAAGAAATATTGAGAAAAAAAAATGATATACCAGTGCCTTGGATAAATCAGTGTCCTTCTGTTTATAATGTGTGTGTATATATATATACACACACACATTATATTAGTGATATTAAGTGATAAGAGCAGAGCTGCTTCCATACATACCATGCATTATCCAGTTTTCCAAATTTTCTTAACTCAGCCTACCTAGAGTTCACCTACCTGGATGGAGGAGTTAGCATATCTGTGCAGTCAGTAACCACACTTTCTTAAAAAAAAAAAAAGAAGCTGCTATATAGTTATGTAGCCTCCAAACAGAAGCAAAAACACCCTGTAGGGTGAGCTTACCTCATTCCTCACTCTTCCCCTTGTAGCATGGAACTTGAGTAACAGTAATACTTAATACATACGATCATAAACTGGATAGATGGAAGGGAATTGAAAGATCATTTGTATCAGACCACTTTCCCTCATTCATTCATGCAGGTTTTACTCAACCATCATTTATTCAATACCTACTTAGCATTAGGCACTTTGCTATGTGCTAGATTTACAAAGGTAAATAAGTCATTGACTCTGGAAATAAATTCAGTCTAGTGGGGGAAAGCTCTATAAACAAACATGTAACTTCAAGAATAACATGTAAGAGGTATGCGAAGAGGTCTATGAGGACACAAAAGAGGCAGTGTTTTATTCTACCCCAGGGTTACAGAGAGGAATTCAAAGACAAAGTGATAGGAAAGTTGGAGTTCACCAGGAAAATGGGACTGATAGAACAGGTTAGAGAATGCAAGAAGTCCTTACGCCCTTGACTGACTGATGGCTAACTACCAAAATTGTGGCCAGTCCCACCTTGATACTTATGAAATGCCAAGTTTATGGATACCAGTGATTGGTTTCATGAGCTCAGCCATGCTTTCACTTGGGTAGATGTCAGTATTTGCCCAATGGAAAAATGCATCTGAGAGAAGAGTGGAGGCAAAGGTACTTCAGTAGACTATTTTGCTGAAGGGCTTGACTGGACACCTGTTGCCCAGTGAGGCCACAGTGTATCCTCTCATCACAGGAGAATCCTCTAAGACTTCTTAGTGCCATTTTGTCACCTATCCTCTAGCCAAGTTAACTATTTATTAGCCCAGTCTACAGTTGAGATTGAACTTTAAAAATAGTTTAGCCAGGCACTGTAGCGCATTCCCGTGGTCCCACCTAGTTGGGAGGCTGAGGTGGGAGGATCAGTTGAGCCCAGAAATTCAGGCTGTACCGCACTATGATCATGCCTGTGAATTGTGACTGCAGTCTAGCCTGGGCAACATAGGAGACACCATCTCTAAAAAATTCAATAAATAAGTTTTTAAAATTAAAAATAGTTTCCAGAATTCTAACCATGAACTTGCCAACATTTGTGTTTTAGATAAAATGTATTCAGGGAGTCCATTTTTATTTCTGATCTGTTTCATTTGCAGCAACTATGTAAGTTGATCCGGATATGGAGAGGAGGGAAAAATCTACCTTACAGGTCTTGCTCTATTCCTTTATTATTTCTTGTAGATGCTGTGTGTTTTCTAAAGATTAAGGGAAACGGTGAAGCCTAGACCCCTCAATCATCTTGTCAGTTAATGTGTGATAACTTCAGGGTAGGGTCTTGGGCCAGTAAAGTATGAGCAAAGTGAGTGCCCACTCAGAGCCTGAGTCACACAGTCAGCCAGCAGATGAGCTGCAGCTGATACAGGCTCAGTGTTTCTCTCCTACACCCATCTCCTGCTTCCTAAACTCTCTAGATGTTAACATAACCCTTTTAATACACTCATGTAAAAGGGAGTGTAGAGAAAGGAAATTCTGTCTTATGTGAAAGTTTGGAAAAATACTGTATAAGACTCTTCTAACTCCAAAGTCAGTGGTTCCATGCACTGAGGAACAACTAATGAAAATTAAATATCAGCCACAAGAAGATGTGGTGGAGAGAGACATGGACTGGGAGTCAGAATATTTGGACTTTGCCCAGCTCAGTCATACGTTGCCCTGAGGTCTTGGGCAAATCACTTGTCTTCAATTTCTGGGCCTCAATCTCTTCATCTAATGACTGAGGAAATTGAAGAAGCAGCTCTCTGAAGTTAAACATGTTATGATTCTTGGTGGTAAGTTATCTAGAGCATGATTCCAAGGAATAGGACTGCTGAAGAAATACTTTATGGAAAGGGACCATTTTTAAGACTGCTCAGGACATGGCAAATAGGAATCCTCCCAAGCCAGAGTTAACTAGAGATGAAGGGACAGAGTTGAGGAGTGAGGACCATAGAGGAAAGAGGTCCTCATCTGATTCATAAAATAAGGGGTTGAGTTAGAATGAGGATAAGAAATAAGGTTCATTCTAAATGTCAGTTCAAACAATGCATTAATGGCCCTGCTGAGGATTCTGAGGCATCTCAAGTTTGTGAGAGTAATTATAATTGATTGGCAATGTCTGCCATGCTCAAGGAAAGGCAGAAAAGTAATTTCCATGCTATGGGTTTCCCATCCTTGACTAGAAGAGCCCTACTTAATTCTGCAAAGGCTGTAATGTATTGTGTTTGGTTTAGCAAAGACACCCCTGTCCCGGTAGAGGAGGAGCCAAGGGGAGCCCTCTTCCTAAGCAGGAAGTCCCTTGAGGGTTCCATTCCCTTCATGGCCCTAGAGGAGACTGCAGTCTGGAGCCTAGGATGACACTCCAATCCACTCCAGGAGCAGCTGCATTTGCTGATGAACAGAGAGAGGATGCTAACATTAATTGAGCCCTTACTTTGTGACAAGTAGAGCCACTGTCATCCCATATAGTTACTTTGTGCAAATTAGAAGGCAGCACCCCTTCATCTGGGCAGCTGTAGTCTCATACCAGGGAAAAGCATCTAGTAAGTAAAGTACAGGTTAGATCTTGGCCATCGCTTGTTGCCTCAGGGTACAACCTGAACAACAGTATATGGCAGCCTTGGTATCAAGTGCTGGTCCTTCCCCAGCAATGGGAAATAGGTGATTACAGTACACTGTGATAAAGAATAAAGTAAAATAAATGTTTAATGAAAGCACCCACCAAGAAATAGTATTATCTGAAGGATTGGGTTGATGGGAATGGGGAGCAAAAAAGGCTCCAGGGAAGAGGGGATGCTTAACCTGGGTCTTGAATGACAACTAGTGCTCCAGGGAGACAGGGAAAAGAAATTCAGCTCAAGCTGGGACAATTGCATGTACAAAGGAGCAGAGGTGTGAGACAGCATGTGGACTTGTGTGGGACTCATATCCAGAGTTTGTGAGGGCAGCAATGGGAAGTAGAATGTATTGAGGCGTGAGGAAAGAGCCAGAAGTCTGTGTTTGTCCTTCAGGTCATTGGGAAAAGTGGAGCAAGATGATTGTCAGTGACATTATGTAGGAAGCTACTAAAATTGTAGAGACAAGAGATGTTTAGAAGGTGAAATCAGCTAGGCCAGATGGCGGATATAATATGAAGCTGAGGGAGACGGAGGAATCTAAGATGTCACTCAGAATCTCTGGCTTGGGTGAATGAGAAGACAGCAGTGCCCTTATTGTTAATGGACACAGACTTTCAATTTTAGAAGACGAAAAAAGTTCTGGAGATGGATGGTAGTGATAGTTGCACAACACTGTGAATGCACTCAGTTCCATGGAACTATACACTTAAAAATGGCTAAATGACTGAGAGGTGGGCCCTGGGGTGGCCAGCTGGGTTCGGAGCCGAGCAGGGTCAGGATGGACGAGGACGTGCAGACCACCCTGAAGATCCTCATCATTGGCGAGAGTGGGGTGGGCCAGTTCAGCCTCCTCTTGAGGCTCACAGATGATACTTTCGATCCAGAACTTGCAGCAACAATAATATGATTAGCCAACAGTATGATTAGAACGTATGCCAAGTGAAACAAAGGGATCATTGTCATAGAAGTTGCCTCAAATTCCAGTTGTCTGGAAAGCAATGTAAAGTGGACCACCTGCCACAAAAAATATACTCAGTGAGCTACAAGCAAGTTTTGGGGACTTCCCAAAACCAGTGAAAACTTCAACTAAAAGTAGAATTTCAAAGTACTGTAATTTGGTTGGAAACCAACCCTCCAAATCAAACATGAACATCAATGTTTATACTGAACAGCCTCATGTGGTAGACACAAGATTTGTGTTATCGACTTGAATGTTACCAAGGGTTCACGATTTCCGGCATCCGTTGGTGTTATTTCTTTCTTTCTTTCTTTCTTTACTTTGAGATGTAGTTTTGCTCTTGTTCCCAAGCTGGAGGGCAATGGTGCGATCTCGGCTCACTGCAACATATACCTCCTGGGTTCAAGCAATTCTTCTGCCTCAGCCTCCGGAATAGCTGAGATTACAGGCATGCACCACCATGCCTGGCTAATTTTTTTTTTAATTTTTAGTAGAAACAGGGTTTCACCATGTTAGCCAGGCTGGTCTCGAACTCCTGACCTCAGATGATGCACCTGCCTCAGCCTCCCAAGTTGCTGGGACTACAGGTGTGAGGTACCATGCCCGGCCCCAATAGTGTTAATTTAAGGAAGTTTGATTGGCCAGGTGTGGTGACTCATGCCTGTAATCTCAACACGTTGGGAGGCCAAGGCAGGTGGATCACCTGAGGTCAGGAGTTCGAGACCAGCCTGGTCAACATGGTGAAACTCTGTCTCTACTAAAAATGCAAAATTAGCTGGGCGTGGTTGTGGGCACCTGTAATCCCAGCTGCCGAGATCATGCCACTGCACTGCAGCCTGGGTGACAGAGCAAAACTTGCCTTAAAAAAAAAGAGAGAGAAAAGAAAAGAAAGAAAGAAAGAAAAAAGAGAGTCGGATTAAGTAGAGCAAACCCAGCTGTGAGGCAAGGACCCCGTCAAGTAATCATGCAGTGCTTTTGTTTGGGTTCTCAGAGCAAGTCTTCCTCATCCCTCCCACTTTCTCCTGACCTCCCTGTAAACCTGAACTACCAGATACCTCAATTTTCTTCAAGGCCAGAGTGTTCTTAATGTTGCTAAATTGGTTGAGGAAATGGGTTGAGCCACTCTTGCTCTGCATGTTTTCCTCAGGGTGCTCTTCAGGCAGTTCAGCAGCCCATTACCTAGGCCAGTTACATTTCAAGATGTGTCCTCCAAAGAAGCCCATGCTCACTGTGGTTGTAACTCAGGTCGAATGTTTTGTCCACTTGCCAGGCATCCAGGAACGGGTTGGGAGGCACACAGAGCCTCTTGTACCTCACGCACACCTACTCGAACTGGATCTGGCTTCCGTTTCCCTGTGTCACACGTAGATCCTGCACCGCGCTGTCCAATTTACTGACTTCGCAAAGATGTCCGGTTCCGGCAGTGGGTTGCTGTGGGAGCCCACCAGAATCCAGATGAAACTGGCCTGGGTGCGCCTCCTGGAGGCGGAGAGGTGGTAGGAATTGGTGGTGGTGAAACAGCCCCTGCACAAAGTGTCTCTCCGCCTTGGCCCGGCTCCCCACCGGTGCACTGCTCCTCCAGATCTTCCTCTTCGTCCTTGGGCAGGTGAAGGAAGCCGGTGCCCAGCGCGGCCATCAGCATCATGGGCGCCAGCAGGACGATCCAGTGGTGCGCGTCCACCTGCCACCCTGGCCACTGGAAGAAGAGCGGTGCCTCCAGGCAGTCAGTGTGGCAGTGGCGCCTGCAGACCGGATCCCCGGGGTTTCCACCTCTGGCAGAGGAGCGTCGTCCCCTCCAACGCCGGGGATGGCTACGGCCCCTGCCCCTGCCCCATCGACGGTCGCCGCTCCGAGGGCTGCCCTGAAGCCCCGCCCGGCAGCGATTCCGGTTCCTGATCCGACTCCGGGACCTCCCCGGCCCCGAACCTTGTGGCGTCAAGCTACGCTCTGTCTGGGACCCCTGCGGCCTCTTGGAGCCTGGCCCCGGCTTCCCCTCTGACTCGGACCCAGGTTTCGGCTCTGACCCCGGCCAGACCCCTGTCTTGTTGCCCAGTCCCGCTTCCTGGGCGGCGACTCAGTCTCGGAGTCCAGCTGCGCCACGACCTTAGAGGAGCTGAAGCCTATTTCCGGGAAGCACAGGCGGCGCTCTCACTCGGCACAGCGGGTGCAGCAGCAGCTGCCGGCGGAGCTGCCGCCTCTGCCCTACCCAACGGCTTCCTGGAGAAATTCTAGGGGAGCCTGTGTGAGTGCCCCTGGAGCGCAGGCGGCGTGGGGAGCACGTGGTTGGCCCCGTTGCCCAACTAATCTGAAATGTATTGGTGGCGTGCCTGGCCTCTCAGGAGGTTCAGCAAATACAACGAACACTTCTTCAAGGCCATCAAATGCGTGCCTGTCCTAGGAGACTTGCAATGTATTGGGAGAATTTGGGTGTTTCTCCCCCCAACACGTAAACGGCTCAGAAATTCCACGTGTCCTGAGCTACAGATTTTACCTTTCTTGGAGTTCACCCAGTAGCAGTTTGAGGTCAGACAGGTAGTGTGATGACGTTGTACCAAGGTTCGAGAGTAGCACATCTCACACACATGTGTGAACACCCAATTGTCAGGCTCATGAACTACAAAAGAATTCTAAAGTCTTTTAAATAAACTTCCACTCCTGCTCTGAAAAAACAAACAAACAAACAAAGGCTAAAATGGTAAATTTTGTGTTATGTATATTTTACCACAATTTTTTTAATGGAGGGGAAAAATGATGATGTCATTAGGACAAAGAGATGTGGAGGGAGATGAGAAATCACAGCTCAGAAGCCTCAGCTGTGTCCACCAGCCTCTCAACAAGGCTCAGGTGCTTCTTGTTGGGCATCCTCTGCACTATGGTACACTTCCATTAGCCATGCTGCTACCACAGTGTCATGGTTCCCAGCTGCCTCTGGAAGGTAAGAGCATGGAGGGCAGAGGATGTCTTCATTTTGTATCCCCGGTGTGCACCTCTGACTTTGACACTGGTTGAAAGGGAGGGTGTATGTGTATTAGGGGTGAGGGTTGGGGAAATAGGCCATCAGGAAGGAGAGGGAGTTCCAGCAGTGGCCTTTAATTTGATCATGAAATAGCAGACCGTGTCATCATCTGCTGGCAGGAATTTGGTATGGGGGCCTTAAAGAAGGCTTGGAATCATGAAACAAGAAAATGGGCACTAGAGCTGATCAAAGGAAAGGAAAGGAAAGGAAAGGAAAAGGATTGTTCCAGGGTGACATAGCTCAGGCTGGAAACCATTTCCATCAGTATAATTAGCAGTGTGATTTCCTCCAGCTGTGCTCAGCGGCATGCCGTCAGAAACAGCAAGCTGAGCAGTTGGGAGGACCCAGAACTGGGGCTTTGATAGGTAGATGGGTTGTGAGTGCAAAGCAGCAGAGAATTGAAGGTGCTGGGGAGAGAGTGCTTCGTGTGCTTGACTGTGAGATCCAGTCTGGGTAGGGAAGGGAGTGAGGTCAGAAAGGAGCTGACAGATGGAAAGGGAGACCAGAGGACTGGATGATGTCAAGGAACCTATTTTGGAATAAAGGAAGGGAAGTTTAGTGAGAGTGGATGACTCAGAAAACTGTAGGAATAAAATATGGGACTGGGAAAGTTAAGACTTTGGAGGTGATATGGTTTCAGAGGATAATAAAGTCTTGGGTGTGGCCCAGAAGTGGTTAGCTGAAGGGGAATGAAAGGGGACAGTGTTGAACAGGTTGGGGAACTGCCAGGCCAGATAATTGGCAGGCCATCCACAAGGGGCAGGGCAAGTCTCCTTGTGGGGCTGAGAACCAGGCTATGCTTCATGTACTGAGCACCTAAAGCTTTCTGCAGTCATCTCTGCTCTTCTCAGACGATGGCTGCTCACTGCAGGCAGGACTGGAAATGGCAGGAAATAACAGGTAAGAAGTAAAGGATAGCACTTGGTAGAGGGCCCAGTGGCTCCAGGGACACATGTGCTTCTCAGAGGCTAAGGAAGGAGATGCAGACCCTGCAACTTTTTAGTTTTGATATTCATTGTTACCTCTAGGCAGGAATGAGCACGGTGAACTGAATAATAGAGATGAGACTGGATTACGCTGGCTTTGGTCTGTTTCAGGACAGGAATTGTTTGACTTTGTGGTTGCTAAAAGACAGGCAATTCTCCAAACTAAGACCATACTTTATTCCTGAGCTGAGAATTAACTGATTAAAATCCTGAGACTTATGTTTATTGTAGCACTATTCACAACAACCAAGATATGGAATCAACCTAATAACCCACAAATCAGTCACTTGCAGCAGCACGGATGCACCAAGGATTTTCCATCAGAAAAAACAAGGCATTGATTGATGTAAAATTCAGGATGGAGGTTCATCTGGGGGCCACCAGGGAAGTGCATATCAGGCTTCAACATTCCTTTTCTCAGGCCAGGTGGTGGGTACCTGGGCTTGTGTGAATCCTTAAACCAGACATATATGGACAATACGTTTATATATAAACCTGCAACAAAGAGCCGACTAAACGAAGAGATGACTAACCTTATTAAGAAATAATAAGGTATTTGGAGGAGGAGGAGAAAGGAGGAAAAGAACACCAGAAGCTGGAGAACCTGGCAAGAAATGTGGTGGCAAGGCAAGAGAAACAGAGCCTGGTTTTGGAGCCCAGATTCTACAGCTGGACAGATAGATGTGCATTTGAATTCTCTCTTTTTTTCTGAGACGGACTCTCACTCTGTCGCCCAGGCCGGAGTGCAGTGGTGCGATCTCTGCTCACTGCAAGCTCCACCTCCCAGGTTCAGGTTCATGCTGTTCTCCTGCCTCAGCCTCCCAAGTAGCTGGGACTACAGGTGCCCGCCGCTGCGCCTGGCTAATTTTTTGTATTTTTAGTAGAGATGGGGTTGCACCATGTTAGTCAGGATGGTCTCGATCTCCTGACCTTATGATCCACCTCCTCGGCCTCCCAAAGAGATGTGCATTTGAATTCTAACTTCATCTTTGAGGAGCTGGGTAGATCTCCATAACTTCTCAGGACATCAATTTCCTCAGCTGTGAAAGAGGAACAAAAATAGATCCATCCTGAGGTTGCCAGATGAATTAAGTGACATAAAATATGTACCACCTAGTGTGGTGCTGGCCATCTAATTCATGGCCTTCCTGTCTTTTCTTACCACGCCTTTCCCTCCCTCCATCCCCACTCCTTCCCCCACGCAGCTCTGGCTAAAATCAGCCTAACTGCTCTTCTTCCTGTTGAGTTATTTATGAACTGGCCACCTGGGAGCGACATGAAAAGGGCTGCTGCCCTGGGGTGTGGATGCTGGGCCTGTGGTGACAGGCCTGTGTGACAGAGGGCGGTGATCCAACAGGGTCATTCATGACGCCTCTTGTTTAGAGGGAAATGCGTGCTATGGATCCTTTTTTCTAACACTTGCAGATTTCAGCCCCGGCCACGATGTTTGCTGTCAGCGGATGGAAAAGTCTTCCTCAATTTATGGTTCATACCCCATTCTTCTGAAGTGCTGATTATGTTCAAAACTCTGCCAGAAAAGGTTTGTATTTTTTTGTATGTGTGCCAGAATGGAAACTGGCTGGGTTTTGTCTCACAGTTAAACTCATCAATTCCAGAGAACATGCCTTGTTTTATTCAGACATCTAACTACAGAAATCTTTTTCACAGAAGCCTTTTCTGCTTTATCATAATTTGTCTTGGGCCTCACTATGCTATGATTTATCTCTCTCACTGGTCACTAATGAACCCTAATTCAAGCCTCTGACATTTCTTATTAATCTTCAGTTTCCTTCCAATCCTTCCAAAAACCCCACTGATGCTCTGAAGCTAATGAGAGGTTGAGATCACACTTGTAACTCAGGGTTAGTGTTTTCTGAGGGGTTCTGTGTACCTCACTTACTGATCAAGGGCAATGTTGGTAACAATTTTTTAAAAAAGAAAACATAGAAACACATAAAACATAAGTATTTGATAAAGAAATAAATTGCAATGTTGAAAATGGCATTTGGGGAATATTCTGATTTTTCTTAGTAAGTGAAACCCTGTTTAGCAAACTTGGTTTCTTACCCCTACTTTCATTGAAGAAGTTTCAGATTTTTATTTTTAAAAATATGGAAATACTACCTTCTGCAGTTAGATCATAATTTTTCACTTTTCCTCCACTTGGACATTGATATATAAGATCCACGGTTTAATTTTCAGTCATGTGTTGGTTTAAACAATGTTGATAAATATCTATACCTTGCTTACAGGTATTTCCTCAAGATAATGTTGTCTGAATATGAGTCCCTTCTATGAATTGATTTGTGACCCTTGTAATTCATTGATGGCCATACAAACATTTTGATGTGTTCATGGCCTTCAGTGACTTTAAACAAAGAAACATGTTGCTTTAACCCCTCATAGGCGCTCCGTTGTCCAAGGGCATGTAACCGTGGTTCATGAATAGGTTTATTGTTCCTTTTCTGATATTATCCTGTATATACTGTGCCAATGTTTATTGAAATATTCTTGTTTAAAGATATCATCCCCATTCAGTGTTCATATGTCTTTATATGCCTCTTAGAAACATCCTAAAATGTATTTCCTTGTATTGATTTTATCCACAGGCAGCTTTTAAAGCCTTAAAGCGAACTTTACAGCTGATAGCTCCTCTGCATGATATCGTGGCCTACCTTGTCAGTTTTGCTAAGCTTGGCAATTGTGCAGCATGTTTTGAATTTCCTCTAAGTCCCAACCCTTTGAGAGGAGACTGGGGAGGAACTGAGGGCATTGGTGAGTGATTAAAGGTGATTCAAATCACCTTCAGTATTCACTGGAAGTTCTATGAAGCTCTTAATACTCGGAAAGACAGAACTACAATATACTCTCATAAATGACAGCAATCAGAAGGGCAAAGGAAGAGTCCGAACTGTCTTATAGACTGTCTCCACACTGCACAGCTATCTGCTTGATTCCGCATTCATGGGCTATACCACAAAGTGCACCAAGTCAGGAGGCGGGAGGCCTGGGTCTTACTCTGCCTCTGCCACTTGGTTACTGAAAGCTGGGTACTTTACTCTCTGGGTCTCTGCTTGTCCATCTATAAAATGCGGTGATAGTATCTGTCTCATATAGATGTTCTGTGGATTGAAATTTATGTCAAAATTCTAGGATATATAAGCCCCCATTAAATATTAGTTTTCTTTTGTTCCCATTTCCTTCCTGGCCTTCATAAACTCACATGGCAAGGTCAGAGCCAATCACTCCCTATTAAGAAGCTTGTAAACAGCCCTTGGTTAGCTATCAATGACCTAAAAGTCTTTGTGGTAAGAATGATTGAGGCTTTAGTTTTATACGCCCAGTGCTCATCAGCACAGGTTATATTATAAGATAAACACATGAGGTGAATTAAAAACACTGAAATGTTTACTAAGCTATGTTTATCAGAATCAGAGAAAGTAATCTTGCCTTAATAATGTGACTACCATCCAAATAATGTCACTGGTCATGTAAATATCAATTAATAGCAAAATACTATAGTAGCCGGGGATTTAAAAGAACAAGAAGAGCCTAAGAAATGAGGCAACATGCCTGTTTAAACCTAATGCTCTTAAAACAAATGTCAGAGAATCTGAGGATATTCCCCTGTGGCTGGTTGGTGCATAAAGGAAACACATTTGTAGGAGACCTTGGAGCTGGTGGCAGGTATATTTGCATTGTGCTAAGGAACACTGAAGGGCTCTGTAAACATTTAGATGTGGACATAGGGAAGGGCATGCATGCTGATCTGGGAGGAGGATAATGCCTGTGTCTAGGAGCAGCAGGATAAAGACAGAGTGGTAGTGGTGCCACCTCAGCAGAAGGCACAGAATTGTTGCAGAGTAATGAGCTGTCAGAGTGACTCACAAGTCTTCAACGTAAGCATCCGATTAGAGAAGCTCCAAGCACTCTTAGGTCCTTTCCTTTTACTAGTTTGGGGACTGTTGTAAGTGGGGCTTACTCAGAAAATAAGCTAAGACACTCTTAGCGGGGCTGTTGGATGTCGGGAGGGTGTGGGGGCTGAGCTTTAGCTAAGGCACAGGAAGAAGGAGTGTGGCCAAGAGAAATGTCCTGCCTGCCCTTGAGATGGGGAGGCAGTTGTTACATGGAGATGAGATAGAAACCGAGAGAGCCAGAGCCATATTTCCTGGTGAAGTCACTACACAGGCAGTCCTATAGCAGCTGGGAGTAAAGGGTGCCCCCGGGCAAAACCTCCCCAGATCAGGGAGGTGATCTAGGGTGCTTCCCAGACTGGAAAGGAGCGGACTTGGATCAGTGTAGAAAATAGGAGGGACAGTCCTAGCAACATAAGAAAAGGACACTGGCAAAAGCAGCAGGCAGAACTGCACGTGGCCAGTCCGGAGAAGTGAACCTGCCCATGAACGAACCCATGAGTATGGCTCCGAGGAATCACGGGAAATGAGGCCCAAGTTGAGGACCTGGAATTCAGGAAGAAGGGAATTGTTTTCTTGCCATTTCTGCACTGTGAACCCAGAAACCATTGAGATATGTGGGGCCCAGGCTTTCTGAAGCATGCGGAGAGGCATGCATTGTCATGTTGCACATTTGTGCTCCAGGGAGAATGTACAGTTTTACATGCTCTGCTTTGCTCAAAATAAAGAGCAAACTTAAAAAAAAAAAAAAAAAAAATCCCCTCCAAGATAATCATCTTTTTAAAAAGACTAGTCCGCTTAGTTCTTGGCCTGTTTCCCAGAGGAGGCAAGAAGAACTAAGGGGAAAGATGAAATGAGAGTCTGTTCCTTTAAGCCATCTCAGAACAATTTAGAGTTAGTTCTAAATTGTTAGTTCTAATTGTTAGTTCAAATTACTTTTGTGGACTTATACGCTTTAAAGTATTTTTAAAACAAATCTTGAGGGAAATTCAAGATTTCAGCTTTTGGTCCTCCCCTTGACTGAAGAAAACAGCTCTTAGACACTGTGGACCAGCTCTGTGGATGCAGCCAAATTCTCTTCTTCCCCGACAGCCAGTAACTCCCTTTGAAGTCCCCCGTGAAGCAGAGGATGTAATCAGAATGTGAACGTTTACATTGTGACTTCCTTTGTAAAGGATAAGTAGGCCAGTTAAAGCCCAAATACTTCACACTGAACTCAGGGAAACCAGGAATGAAGTGGACGATCTCCGAGTCTTCATGCAGAGACGGGGCCACTGTGACTCCTCTCTCTCCCCCTGTCTCTCTGGCTGTCTGTCTGTCTGTCTTCCCTGATTTCCCAAACGGGACCCTCCTGGGAAAGGCTTGAGCAAAGGCTCCTTTCCTGATGTTTCCTGGCACAGGGTTCACCCCAGCCTCACCACCATCGCTGCCTGCAACAACCCTCCGCCCTGTCCCCACCGCCAGGCCGCCTGTCCTGCCACCTCCCCTCCCGCCAAGCCTCTTGACTCCATAAAGGAAGGAAAGTCGGGACGAGGATTTAAAGATCAGTAAAATAACAAAGGAAAGGCAGTCCTGCCTCCACGTCTGTATTTTAATGATAATACTACATATCAACATACAACAATGTTGCTGGGAAGCGATCACATGCCAAGTGCACAACCAGTAGTATATAAACGATGGAAATGACAGAAAAAAAATCACCTGTAAGCCAGCCACTCTAACAAGTGAAATAATTTTATTTATCTTTACTCCCGTCTAGCCCCTGCCCAAATATATTCCATATTTATATTTTACAGAGCTTTAACCACAGGGTATGTGTAATTTTATATTCTCCTTTTTTCATTGTCATTGCAGAGGATTAGGAAATTTTCCTCTGGTTACAGCACAGCCTGATATTGCTTGTAGACCGAACACACTAGGCCTTGAACAAATGAGGCTCCCTGACCACCTCTCCTCCCTCCAATCACCACAAAAGTTCTTGTACAATTCGTTCTAATATGACTCTTCTTCTGGTGAACTCTTCAGCCCAGTAGGACTATCAGATTTAGAGGAGTCATAAAAAGTTTGCTGATTGAACTCAATTATTTGGGGCTGGAAACAAAAATAAAACAAATTTTGTATTGTGTAAAACAGCAAATGAATATGAAATCTGGACTGCTCATCTGTTCTTAAAGCCAAGAGCACATATTACATATGTTAGCAACCATTCTCAGCCCTGGATCTGCCTGATCAAGCTCTCATGGACAGCTTCCCCCTCCCACAACTCTCTGCTTTCTCACTCAGTAGATGCTGGAGCCCAGTACTGGGCTAGGGAGGAAAGAAGGCTGCTTGCATGTGGACCAGCTGTCAAGATAGAGCATCTCCAGAAATGCCCTGTGGGCTTCCTGTCTCACTCCTGCCTTGGACTGTATCCGTTTTCACAATCCTTCTTCTAATAACAGAGATGTCCTCTCAGGGTAGAAAACTATCACTATGTTCACAGGGATATTTCAGACCAGCTGACATTCTGGTAGCCGTGTAAGTGTGAGCCCAAGCATGTTCCCCAAGGGCTCATCACTTTCCACTGTGCTATCCTGTTCTGACTAGCTCCTTCTCTATGCCAATAACTAGGATATATATACCTAGATGCTAGGATGGTCATCCAGACTCAGGCTGGGTTCCACATCCTGGCACTGAGTGCCCTACAAGGCCCTTAAGTTAAATTTTCACCCAAAATGAATATGAATCTATGTATACATAGCCTACTCTTACAGTAAGGGTCTAAGAAATAAAGCAAATATGGATCCTCCACATTTGCTCCTAAAATGACTAGAATCTCCTAGAAGGATATGTATGCATATGTATACACATATGTGTATGTATACATATGTTGCATATCTTTATATATACATATATGCACATGTGCTTTTTACTTGCTTTAGATGGTCTTGAATCTTCTTTAATCCATGAGCCAGTGACAGGCAGGGCTGATTTGGATATAGCATGGCAATAAGAGATGAGTGCTGATTCATAATCTCTGATCTCTTCAAGTACCTAACAGATATACTGAGGACTAGATTTTCCTATTCCTTGTCATTTCTCCTTTTTGTTCTATTTCAAGACCATAGCCTTATAAATTTTAAAACTTTCTTTCCTGGCCTGTTCTTATTGTACTGAAAAGCAAAGCAAATTTTTATCTTCCTGAGGAAGAAAGGAGACATAAATCAGACCTTTAATTCTAGAACATAAGGCTTTGCTGGTCTTGCAAAACATATAATTAGTATACCCACAAACAAAACACGGGAAGTCTGATTAGGTGATAAGTATGGGACAAAATGTTGGTTTACTGGTTTAGCTATAGTAGCCTGTATTTCACATTGTCAGACTAAAATATTGTCCATCTTCTAGGGTCTGAGCTTCAAGAGCTGCAGAACATGATTGACAGCCTCCAGAGCCCCCAAGACCCTACCCGGGTGGCCCAGGCACTTCTCCTCCGAAGGGAGGTTATGATTTTGCAGTTTGACGCTGCAGTGAGGCATCTCATCCGGTAAGGGCTGGAGCACTCATCCTGTCTAGGAAATTCTGCTGTGGAGGTGTTTGCTGAGTGACCATCTAGGGAGGCCACTCTTGGCAAGGTTAGATAATGAGCTTAAAATAGTCACGGGCACAAGCAGATCCAGAACGCCATGGCCACCAAACATGACCTGTCACAAAGGCTGTCTGTGAGAATCTGTTCTTATTGGCGAATAACAATCTTGATTTTAGCAAATGTAATTTCAGAACAGTTCATATAATGATTGCTGCTCTCAATGTACACGGGGGTTCTGCTGGGAATAACATTTTTATACTTCTAAAGATGATTATTTCTAGGGTTTTTTTTTTCAACGTTTGTTTACCTTTCAAAAAGACAGAAGTTTTACTGAACTTCTCAAGCTAACAGAATTGGCTACCAGCGTTAAATTTATAAATAAATCAATCTACCTCTAGCCTTGTAGGTACCATTGTATTAAGTACTCCACATGCAAAAGAAATGTTTTATTTGGGTAATTAATCACGATGCTGATGGGAAAATTAGCTTGGATTAAGATTCATAATGTTTCCAGTATAAATAAGTTTTGTATGAGAGGGAAAGAGGGTTAGCCCTGAAGATCTCTGCTGACTTTTTAATTGTCAAAATTAGCTTCTTTAGGTTAGTTCCCCATGTGAGTATTTAGCCACTGAGAGGGCCTCCGAGGGCCGTGCTCTTACCTGTAGGTTGCAGTTGCTTTCCACTGCACTTGCAGGCATCCATGGAGAACGAAAAGGTGGGGGTTGCACTGAACTGTCTTGTTCTTTTTCTACTGTCAATCTTCTTTACTCTGACATCAGAGGACTCTTGGATTTAGAATGTAAATTCAGCAGGACAAAAATCAGGCTAATTTGTTTTCTTTATATTGACAGATAGCTTCCTGAGCTGTAGCTTAGTCAAGCAGGTAAGATGTAAAGCCTCAGACAATTGTCAGGATGGCCATTTGTTAGTCCTCTGGGCTCTGAAAGCCCAAGGTCAGAATTTGCAAGGATTTCACATACTGGTGAAGAAACAGAAATATCCCCCAGAAGTCCTTTTTGGATTTCAGCTACGAAGGATTCCGTTTGGTACTGCTCTCCCAGGGAAACCACTCTGCTTCCAGGAAACCCCCTGGAATCGCTTTGCCGGGGCTTTCTTTGTCCTCACACTCCATCTGCAGGAATGGAGATTGTGTCCTATTTCTGGTTTTATATGTTTTTCTGTGACCCTCTGGAGAGAATCACCCAGACGGTTCACCCCACTGTGTCCTCCACTGGTTACATTTCCCCAGCCTTTTCTCTTCAGAGCTGTTCAGGTTGTGTGTGTTTGGAATTATACAGCTAGTAAGTGGCAGACCAGATTTAGAACCTAGGTGTGTTTCACTCCAAAACCCAAGAGCTATTATGGAGACCAAGTGGCAGCGTGGACAGAGAAGAGGATGCTGAAGAGAAGGCAAGATCATCTTGGGTACTGGCTATGTGCATGCTTCTAGGCACAAAACATTTCACTCTGCCCCTCTCAACCCCCCTCTACTAGCCAAAGGGTTGATGGAACTTGGTAGCTGTCCCCCAATGGGTTGGATCACACTGACCAGGGCCCAGCATTCATCTCTGGACATGTCCACCAACTTGCAGGAGTTATTGATTAGCCAATTCAAGAAATGCCCGAGGATTAAGCTTATCTTTAATGCCAGGTGAATTAATCATGTGCATTGAAGGTAAACACTTGGGTGACAAAGCAGTTCTATCCAATCTCATCTATTTAAGTCAGGAGTTGGCAAACTACTGCTGGAGGTCTCTGCCGATTTTTGTATGGCCTGTGCACTAAGGATGGCCTTCCTATCTTTAAATGGTTGGGGAAAAAAATGTATAGAAGAATAGTATGTCTCTGCCGATTTTTGTATGGCCTGTGGGCTAAGGATGGCCTTCCTATCTTTAAATGGATGGAAAAAAAAAATGTATAGAAGAATAGTATTTTGTGACCCATGAAAATGATATGGAGTTCATATTTCCACGTCCATAAATGAAACATTGTTGGAACACAGTCATGCCCATTCACCTAGGGATTGTCACCCCTTTCACACTACAACCCCGGAGCTGAAGAGTTGCCACAGAGTCTGTAGGGTCTGCAAAGATGAAAACATTTACTGTCTGGTCCTTTACGAAAAAGTTTAGTTTTTCACCCCCTGATTTAAAGAATAGAATTCCTTTGCACTTTAGGTTTGGAAGGAAGCAAAGTCCCTCAAAGGTACTCTATAGCACAGTGTAAAATATATCACATGAAAAGTGCCTCTAGTCTGAATGGATTGTTGATGTTCAGGGTGATTAGGGTAAAAAGGAGAAAGCTGAGGAGATACCTTGGCGATACAACCCTTCCTGCAGCAAGCCTGCCTTAGGAGTACATCAAGGAATTTCTAAAGAAAGCAACTCCAGCCTCTCATTCCTTGAATGTTTGTTGGTTTTCTCTTCATTTTTGTTTCTGAGACAGAGTCTCACTCTGTCTCCCAGGCTGGAGTGCAGTGGCATGACCTCAGCTCACTGCAACCTCTGCCTCCCAGGTTTAAGTGACTCTCGTGCCTCAGCCTCCCGAGTTGCTGGGATTACAGATGTTTACAACCACACCCAGCTAATTTTTGCATTTTACGTAGAGACAGGGTTTCACCATGTCGGCCAGGCTAGTGTCGAACTCCTGACCTCAAGAGATCTGAGTGCTGGGAGTATAGGTGTGAGCCACTGCACCTGGCGTTCTGTTCATTTTTGAATGTATTTTTATTTTCGTGATCACCTACTTAACTCTCTCTAAACATGCAGCTATTTAAGTGTGCTTTGACAGCTGGGTGTGGTGGCTCACTCCTTTCATCCCAGCACTTTGGGAGGCCTATGTGGGAGGATCCCCTGAGCCCAGGAATTTGAGACTGTTGTGAGCTATGGTTGCGCTGCTGCACTCCAGCCTGGGCAACAAGGATCCTGTCTCTAAAAACAAAAAGAAATAAAAATTTAAAAATAAAGTGTGCTTTGGGTTGTCTGGGGATTCCTGGGAGACACATAGGAGCCTGGGCCCTCACATGAGCAGTGCTGAACGAGGCCACGGCCCTCGTTTTTGGCATCTGAGAAGCAAAGAGCTTTTGCCTGGCCTCCTCCGGGCCACTTTGCAGGTTTCATTAAGTTCTTACCTGGAGGAAAACTCTAGCATGTGCCCTGTGAGTTCCCTGTGGTTCAAAATAGCTTTTACTGATGGCAAGAAGATTAAACTTTCTAATGCCACATTACTGAATCACACTTGGAGTTTAAAAGTGATCCATTTGAGATTTAAAATCAGTTAATGCAAGATTCTGCCTCTTCCCCTTTGTTTTAATCACCTCCTCTTCACTTGCTGGAGAGGGAAGGGTCCTGCCCTAGGGTCATGGGGTTGGCCAAACACCCGACCCTGGACAGATGGGGTGAATGACAGATGGGGCGGGTGGTAATTTATTACTCACAGACACAATCCAGAGGAAGAGGACACTGTCCCCCCATACAGGGCCACTTGGGAACAGAGTGAACAGGCAAGGGCTGTGGGAGGCAGGTTTTGTAATATCAGGAGAGAGTGATGTTCCGTGCTTCACACAGGAAGGGGTGATTGATTTGAATAATGCTGTGGTCTGGCAGGGAACTGAAACCGCTACTCAAGGATAAGCAGGAATTGCACCTGGTTCCTTTGATAAGGAGGGTCGTTAAACCTGGAGACCTTATCTGTGGGAACAGAGTGGGGAGTGGGGGACCTTGTGGCTAAGCTATTTGAGGCCTCCTGGTTTTGCCAGAAGTCAAGGCAGCACAAATTTTGGACCTTAAGTTTAGGCCTCACACAACACTCTTCTCATTCTACCATCCTCTCGGAGGTGATCTAAGTTTCTGTCAGTGCTTTCAAATCTTCCTGGCAGCTGGGAAGACACAGCCACTTCCTTTATCTCTGCGGTGGGTGAGCTGGCTCACCCCAGGCTAGCCTGCTGCTCAGCATTCCTCTGGATACCCACGTGTGAGGGTCCTTCTCCCCACTTTGAGGGGCTGCTAGTCTTCCTGGGAGGCCACCTCACAGAGAATCCAAGCAAAAGGGCCTTCTGCTCTGGGATACCCTCCTCCAGCTTATCCAGAGGCATCCACTAGAACTCAGCTCTAGTAGTCTTTCCTTGTTTAACTCTTATTTCCTTTTAGGCAAGAAAAATCATTCTAATTTATCATGCATACTTCCTTCTCTCTGACTTATGGTATAAATTTCATGCTCCAGTCTTCAGGGTTTGTGGTTCTTGGTATACAAAGCCAAGTTTTGTTTAAAACCAAACAAGAACTTTTCTCCCCCAAACCCCAAGGAGGCTTAAAACTTTAAATTTAGTTTTTATAAAGAAGTGTTGTCTCAGCTTTTGGTCTTAAAATAATTCATTCAATAAACAATTGATAGCTTTTTTCTAGAGCTACAGCTGCACTATTCAGTAGCCACATGTGGCTATTTAATTTAATTAAAATGATTATTAATTTAAATGAAAGAAAATTAAAAATTTGGGCTGGTCTGAGTGCAGTCGTGTTTACAACTAATTGATTACAACCAGTTACAGATTGCTTTATTCTTTCTCCACTCACACTGCTTCGCTTGACTAGCCTTTAAAAAAAGAAAAAGAAGAAAAAGAAAATTAAAAATTCATTCCCTCAGTCACAGTAGTCACATTTCAAGTGTACAACTGCCACACGTGGCCAGAGGCTACTCTATTGGATAGTGCAAATTTAGGACATTTCCACCATTGCAGACTGTTCTGCTAGACAGTGCTAGTCGAGAGTATGCCAACCCTCCCCATGAGGGCTATGAACTGTGAAAGTCAAGGGTAATGGGCACGGGGGTTGATGTGGCTGAAGAAGGAACCTGTTAATATCTCGAAATGTTTTCTTGCTTCCGTAACTTTGAGGAAAGTTTTGAACTTTAGAAATGTAAGTAACTGCTTTTAATGAAATGCCCCCCCGACCCCATGTTTTGGTAGAAGAACGTTTTTGGCAGCTGGAAATGTTCCTGCCTACCAGTCTGTCACAGACGGCATGTGCCATGGGCTACCAGCACTGAGCAACTGTCTCAGGAAGAGCATTTTTGCCTCGCAGCTCAGCCTGCCCCAGCCACTGGATCCACGGAGCCTCCAGGTGTGTTTCTGACGTATTTTTATACTGTAAATGGTGTGCTGTGTGTAGGGAATTTAGGCTGTTTGTTTCCATTTGGTTTAGATTCTGCAGGGGCTTTCAAGACTTTAATGCCCTCTGTCTTCACTGGCTCAGCTTCACTTGCACAGTGGAACAGTCTGGGCCCCAGGGCCAGCTGTGATTCCCAGTCAGGGTCTTGGCCTCCAAACCCTCAACAGGCTGATCGGGGCAACAGCTTGTCTGTTCACAGTTGATAGCAAAACAAACACTTAATCTTCTCCATGTAATAAATAGTCATGATAGCAATTGCAATGCATAAATGAAGTCAGCAGCTGGGTTTTCAATAGCCCTGGTTATAGCCCCTGTTGTTGAAGGCAAGCCTGGCAACTATTGTTGCTCCTAGGCAGGAACAATATTACCCACCTTCTACAACCAAAGAGTTCAAGATTCAGGAAGGCCAGAGATCGGACTATTCCAGAGTCATGGCAGCACCAGGTTGCAAGCTGTATTAGTTACTTATTGCTGCATAATGATTTACCCTAAAGTTTGGCAGATTAAAGTAATAGACATTCATTATCTCACATAGTTTCTGAGGATCAGGAATCTGGGAGCAGCTTAGGTGGGCAGTTCTGGCTCAGGGTCTCTCATGAGTCAAGATGTTGGCCAGGGCTGTAATCATCTCAAGGCTTGACTGGAGGACAACCTGCCTCCAAGCCCACTCCTATGGCTGCTGGTGGGCACCAGAAGATCCACTTCCAGGCTTATCCACATATGCTTCTCCACCGAGCTTCCTTGCAACACAGTAGATGGCTTCCCCCAGCACAAACAGTCCAAGAGAGAACCCAAGATGGAAGTCACAGTGTTTTTATTACCAGATTTCAGAAGTGACTCTCATCACTTCTGTCATATTCTTTTCACTGGAAGTGAGTCACTAAGTCCAGCACACATTCAAGTAGGGGGGATGGTGCGGAATTAAGCTCCACCTCTTTACAGGAGGAGTATCAAGGAACTAGTGGATATCTCTTTCAAACTACCTCACAATCCCTGGTCTTTCGACTCCAAAATTTCCAACTTAATATTCTGATCTTATAGTGCTAAGCCAAGGGACACCAACATTTCTACCTGCAGTGGCTGCAAGACAGTGACTTTGGGCCCAAGCCTTGGCCCTCATTTAGACCCAGAAGACAGGGCTGGACCGTGACCACTGGATCTGCTCTTGCTACCTTTGGGTGTTGCCTGGGATTAGGTGGATACAAGAGTCCTGGCTTCTTGCTGTCAGAATCAACTGCAACTCCAGGACTTGACTAAAACCAGAACCAGGCCTGGAAGTGTAGAATGGGGTCAGATAGGCAGGCTCACTGGTTCCAGGGCTGCACACGGTATCACAAGGGACAGAGGATGCCTTAGCTATTGGTTAGTGATACGGAGGAGACAGAGACTCACATGTAATAATTTGTGGCGCTGGTCTTCAGTTGTTACCTAGAACTGGAGCACAATAGTGATGAAGGACAACTTTTTAAGGTTCCTGATATTGAGAGCATTTGAGTAAATTTATTTTTATTGATTTTAAATGTGTCCCATTGGTGTTATACTGCTCTGGAACTTCTGAACACTGGTGCTGATTAATTACACTGAAATCTTAAGTACTCTTCTGTGTTTCACCATCTGCTGAGAAAACTATTTAAAAAATAGATTATTACTCTCTCCTGTATCACTAGGAAGTTTCAAGAAATACTTCCATGTAATAAATAAGTCATCCAAAATTGTTTTGGGGTGCAGACACAGATATCCTATTCATATACAGATATCTATTAATTTTGAACACAAAGTACAGCATTATCATGTTTATTATTTTGTTCTCTTAGGCATTTGAGCTGTTTCCTTGGAGAGCATTTCTGGAAGATGGAGGACTATTCCCAGCTATGAGTAGCAGCCCAGACACCCTAGAATATAATATGCAGGTAGGATAGGTCTTCTCCATTGTTACAGAGAGAACTTCTCGAGTGCAGACTGCAAAGATGGTTGCCATTGGGTCCACAGGTCAGATCCTCCTACTCTCACCCATGATGAAAAATGTGTGAGATAAGCAGGGTGTTTGATTTTGAAGCTGTAAACCTGGGACCACGAGGTGAGTCACATTTTCTTATGATAGAAGAGAAGCATGCTCTCAACTGGCGTGGGCCTGGGTTGTAGACTCAACTGCAGTTCTCGTAACAGTAGTGATCTGGGAGAATGGCCAATCATCTCCAGTCATGGGCTGGGCCTCCTAGAGAAACTCCCAGGCTGGAGGCTCAGAGATGTGTGACTCCTGACCTGTCCATAAATAGTGGTGGGAAGGGAACTTTTTAAAGCAGGACTCGTCGGGAGAATTTCTTTTCATTGTTTTCTTTTCTGCCGTTAACTTCTTTTAAATTGTTAGATTCTTTTCATTATTAAATGTTTTCCCCTGATTATTTAAGTAAATATTGTTTTTATTTAAAAAATAGAAAGCATAGAAAAGTATTAAGAACAACATGAAAATCAACCATAAATACACTTCAAAACCATATGGAGGTGGGGGAGTGGGTGGATGGGATGGGACTGGCCATGGGTTAATGGTTCTTGGGGCTGTGTGATAGGAACTTTTCTGTTTGATTTCTATATATTCAAAATTATCCATAAGTAGAACAGGTTAAGTAAAATAGTAAAAATGGTCTTAAAAAATTTACCATATGGCTGGGTGTGACTCACACCTGTAATCCCAGCACTTTGGGAGGCCAAGGTGGGCAGATCACTTGAGCTCAGGAGTTCAAGACTGGCCTGGGCAACAAGGTGAAAGCCTGTCTCTACTGAAAATACAAAAATTATCTGGGTGTGATGGCACACGCCTATAGTCCCAGCTACTCAGGAGGCTGAAGCATGAGAATCACTTGAACCCAGGAGATGGAGGTTGCAGTGAGCTGAGATCGTACCACTGCACTCCAGCCTGGTGACAGTGTGAGACTCTTAAAAAATAAAATAAAATAAAATAAAATAAAATAAAATAAAATAAAATGGTAAAATAAAATTAAAAATCAACCATCGTCCCACAACTAAGAGACAATTACAGTTCACATTTTATTTCCCTGGTATTTTCTCTCTGCGTATGTGTGTTTATATCTGTACTTTTAAGGAAAAATTGATATCACACTATACATTCACCATGTCAGATCTGCTGTAAGGGCTGGAAACTTGGCATTTTCATACAGAGCCAAAAGTTTGATGTGCTCAAAGAAAACTTTAAGTTAGAAATGTTACTCTGGTTTTTATGAATTTTCTAGCAGTTGAGAGGATGGGTTCTTATAAATACAGTTACTCCTAGTTTTCTTCCTAAAAACCATATGTAATATATATATATATAGTCTTCAAATGGAAGGTTTTTTTGTTTTTTTAGCTGTGCCTCTGTGGGTTGAGTGACCGTGACCACAAGGTGGCTCATGGAGAACTGGTGGGTGTGCAACTGCTACTGGAAGATGTTCTGAGTAGCTATCATGTGACCATGGAGGCCCCCCCAAGACAGCAAGCCACACTGGGCAAAAATGCACAGGTATTCTTGGGGAATCGTTTCCATATTGACCAGTACTGTATTGGGCCGAAGGACTTCTCTGCTGGGGAGATGGTCCAGGGAGCCACATGTTCCCATAGCCTCTCTCAGTAGGTCCCAGGACTGTGCCAACACCACCTGGGAGCAACAGTGGAGCAGGGGTAGCCACTGCAAAAGCATTTTCTAAGTTCCATGATTATGGTCTATCCAACTATTTTAATTTTTAAAATGGGACAAAAGTTGTAGGAGGTCTATTGAAACAAATGAAACAAAAACACCAACTGAATGCTTTCTTTGTGAGTCACACATCTAGGACTGGAGTTGGAAGGGCCAGAGGGGTCTGATAGAAGCCCCAGGTGGACATCTCAGGCCTGGGCTCTTGTCCTCACACTCAACTACTGGCCTATGGCCTCCTGGGCAGGCACTGCCTCCTCTGGGTTTATCACTCTGAAGCTCTAAGGTGCAAGAGCCACTAGCCCTCCTAGTATCATGACTTTAAACAATTTTGCATGTATCTGGGAACTAGGCAGAGACATGTTTGGATGCCAGACAAACTAGCTGGTGCCCCCACTTGAAGACCTTTTCTGTCTGAGCCAAACTTTCTGAGCAATGCCTAAATCTGTCATCTTCATTTTCTTACCTTCCTGCTACTCCTTGCAGCACTACAGTCTGTCTTCCCAATCTTGCTACTGAAACGTGTCTCATCAAGAGGTGGTCCTTGTCACTAAATCCCCTGGGTACTTTCAGTCACCTTCCTACCTAACCCCTTGGCAGCATTTGACAGAGTCCTTCTCAAAGCCTTTCTGCCCTTGGCTTCCACAGCATGAGTCTCTCCTACCTTTCCTCTGACATTGCTGAGCCCTCCTTCTCAGACCCTTCTGTAGGGTCCTCTACCTCTGCCAACCCTAAAATGTTTTTTATAATCTATCCCACCACTGCTACCAGGGCCACATTTTGACTTCCACAGGCCCTAACACTTTTACCTTTGTGGGCTCCTCCCTCCGCCATGAAAAACCTTTAAAAGTTATATTTTAACATTGTGCTAGTACAAAGAAAAAGATATTAAAATCATATATTAAGGCATTTTCTTTAGCCTAAAAGGTCTTTTTTTCTGATTAAAAAAAAATAAGGCATTTTGTGAGCCCTAGGCACTGTGCCTCCTCTGTCCAAGCCATTAAGTCAGCCCTGAATGCTACTAATACCACTACTATTATTGCCTACAAGTTGAGGTCTGTTCAGATTGCTTTTGATGTATTCATTTATTTAGTCCCCACAATAATTCCATGAGATAGGTTGTTTCATTGTTCTCATTTTATAGTTAAGAATACTAAGGCTTAAAAAGGTTAAGTAACATGGCCAAAGTCACATGGGTAATGAGGAGACAAGCTCAGACTCCAACCCAACGTTCTGGTCCTGGAGCTCCCTCATCCTCTTCTCTACTAGGTTGCTCCATTCCTCACCCTCTCCCTAGGAAAACCCATCCACTTTTATAACTTTGATGACATTCACATGCCATGATCCAAATCTATATGTCTAGCCCAAATATCAATCCTATCAGACTCACATGTTCAATTGCCTGCTGGATAGCTCCACTTATTCCACCTCAGAGACAGCGTGTCCTAAGCTAAGGTCATCTTACTCCCTAAATCTTGCCCCTCCCCCATAGTCTCTGTCAGATGGTCAAGCCAAAAACTCTGGGCACCATCTTTGACTTCTGTCCCACACCCCACAACCAGTCACCAAGTTTTACTATCAATTATTTTAATATCTTTCAAGTTTGTCTTCTTTCTCCATTCCCCCACAGTACCCACTTCTACGAGTCCAAACCATCATCATCCCTGATCACTAGGCTATGATCGTGACCTCCAATTGGATTCCGTACACTTACTCTCACCTCTTTCCAATCCATTCACCAGGGTAATATTTTTAAATGCAAGCCTGATTATGTCACTTCCTTCACTACAACTCTTCAATGGATTCCAGATGCCCTGAGAAAAGTCCAAATGCTTTCATCAGCCCCTCGTGACTTGACTCCTGCCAATATTTCTACCCTCAATGTCTTTTTATTTGTCAAGTGCACCATGCTCTCCTCTGTACTTCTCCCAAGCTGGTCCCTCTAGTGGAAAACTTCCCTCTCCTTCCTTTTTCTGCTTCATCACCTGATTAACTCTTATCCTTACTTAGTTATCCTTCAGATTTCCACTTCAAAACCACTGTCTTTAGGAAGATTTTTCTGATCATCCACCCTTACCCCCGATGCTTCTCTGTGCCAATTAGAGTGCTTCTGGTGCAAGTAACAGGTTGTCCCATTAGCTATAACTTAAATTAGGGGAGCATATTAATCCTCCATAATAAGAAGTCTAGAAGGAGGCAGTTCAGGTTGGTGTAGCCCCTCAACAGTGACTTCAAGGACTCAAGGTCTGCCATGTAGCTGTGTCGGCAAACATCTCCCTCACTTTTGTAAGATAAAAACAGGAGCAAAAAAGCTTTCTCCTTGGAGAGCTATCTTTTTATCAAGGAGGGGAATATTTTGTAGAAGCCCCCCAGTATGATCATTTGCAAAGCTGGATATAGATCAAATTGTGCCAAGATCAAAAAACATGCTGGGCCCTCAGGTCCTTCTGTTTGCCATTTTTTGGCCCTGTCTGTGATGGATTACCATCTTTTTCTGACATTCCCCACCATCCTCCACCTTGTTATTTATCTTGGCTCCTGTTCCTTCTTTTGTCTTTTAAATTAAAGCACGTAGGTAGAAAAGACTTCTCATCATATGAACATATAAACAAACAAATTTGCTTTAAAATTATTATTTAATTAATTTTATTTCATGTGTTTTTATTTAGGAGTATTTAGCTATTCATAGACGATAGAAATCAGCAGAATTTATACTGCCCTGAGAGTCAGGACTCCTGAGTTCCTGCCCCAGTTATGCCACAAGTTTTTTTATCTCACTAGGCCTCAGTCTCCAAAGCTCCAAAGTAAAGGTGATGAATTGGCTCAGGGCTTTTAAAATTGTGGTCCAAGGAGCCCTGGGGTTCCTAAGAGACACCTTGGGGCTTCTTGAGCTGGGGGTGGCGTGCAATTACATGGCCTCCAGGCTCTCCCCTTCATGTCACCATGCTTGTCCTTGGTCTGTTGAATATTTGGGCCAGTGCATAAGAATTCATTTAATGAAAGAGCTCTGAGGATAAAATGAAATCTGGAAATCCATGCACTAGCTGATTGTTGGGGAGGCAGGCTACAAGACTGAGGAGTTACCAGCAATCTATAGGAACTCACTCTCCCCTGGGTCTTGCTTATCAATTCTTCCTTGGACAATTTGACCAATGCTCTTCCTGGCAGGCAGGCTTTTCCTTATGTATGTTAATACCACTGCTCTAGGATCCAGTTATACCAGGTTGTTCTTCCTGTTTCTAGCCAGGAAACTTGAGTGTCTCAGGTGCTGTCACCTAAATGCTCTTTAAGCCTCTTTTTATCATAACATCATGGGATTTGCCATCCTGGTCTGCCAAGAAGAGCTCCTTTTTCTGTGACTGAGACACTGTGGACAGGCAGTGGGCCTGAATCTGGTCCTCATTTTGTTCCTCACTCTGGGTGACCTTGGCCCTCAGACTGCTGGCTGCAGGACAGCAGGACAAACAAGGACCTGAATACCTTGTTTCCTCTACGTCCTGCAGGGTTCATAGCAGCCCCTCCACAATTATTTACTTAAGGAAAGCACCAATGAATAAATGAAGAAATCATAATTTTAAAGTAATCTTTCTTATTGAATGATAAATTCTAATTAAGAGAAATGTTTCCTGCCTAACTTCTAAAAGATGAGAAGAAACAGGAGGTAGGATAAACTTAAATTTCCATTCCTCAAAGGAAAGTTACTTCATGGCTCCACCATGATGGGAACTTTAATCTCAGGTGTATTGAAGAGTACTTTCCAGAATGCAGAGGGAAAACACAAAAGGCTCAGTTTTTCAAAGGCGGATAAAACGTTAGTATGCAAGTAAGAGAGTTTTCAAAATGAATGGTTCCAGACCCAAGCAGAAAGCTGCAGTTGATACATTCCTATCCTTTCCATAAACTGTTCATGAAGGATGGTCAATCTCCCTCAACTCTACATGTGCTGTAGGCCTGTGAACCATTCCTCCTGGGGAAAAAGTTAATTCTCCAAAGACTTTGTTTTGCACAAGCTGCAAGTAAAAGGTTAGCCTGTGTTGGTTCATGATCAGTAAAGAAGGATTTCCATAATGCTTTCAGCCAGATTGGTCCAAAGTGCCAGGATTCAGAAGTCAGTTCCGAAACAGCCCAAAAGCCTCCAAGTTGCTGGAGGGCCCGTGCGATGCGGTGATGTCCCTTGCTTTGCTGAGATCATTTCTGATACTGTGGAAGCAGCTGGAAGTGCTAAAGGAGCACTGGGGCCGACTCAAGCTGCAAGGCCAGGATATCAACTCTGTCTCTCTCCACAAACAGTTTTCAGAGCTCTACGAGTGAGTGTTGCTGAGGCTGAAATTCATGGCCATGACTAGAACCTTGGGGATGGCAGCTTCCTGCCCCTTTATCTGAGGGCGAGATTTGGTCCATGAATCCTAACATGACCCATTAGACCCATGGGCTGGGTCTCTGAGTGCTTGTGGCACTGCAGCCAGAGATATACAGATGGCACATGGGGCACAGGTCTGGGGAATGGGAGGCATGCTAGCCGCTGCAGGCCCTGGCTCGAATGACGTAGCTGGCTGGGAAGGCGTGTTGCTTCTGCCATGTGTCTGTTAACAAACATTTACTAAGCACCCCCATACACCCTGGGCCTTACCAAGCTTAAGAATGTTTGCTTTAGGCCGGCGTGGTGGCTCACGGCTGTAATCCCAGCACTTTGGGAGGTTGAGGCGGGGGGATTACCTGAGGTCAGAAGTTTGAGACCAGCCTGGCCAACATGGTGAAACCCTGTCTCTACTAAAAATACAAAAAATTAGCCGGATGTGATGGTGGGTACCTGTAATCCCAGCTACTCGGGAGGCTGAGGCAGGAGAATGGTTTGAACCCAGGAGGCAGAGGTTGCAGTGAGCTGAGATCACACCATTGCATTCTAGCCTGGGCAACAAGAGTGAAACTCTCTCTCAAAAAACAAAAACAAACAACAACAACAGAAAGTTGGTATAGCCAGATTGTTTATCTTGTGAAATTATTATAGTCAGTGTCCCTGATAACTAGGAAATGTGAAGACTTGTCAATATTTTGAAGAGTGAGGACTGAGGTTATATGCACCCAATGGGAAAAAGCCTCACTATTTCAAGTGGCTAAGAAATGATAACTGTGGTGAATTTAGATGTTGATATATCTGTGAATGGGTTAGGATACTGATGATAGGAAAGATAAAATGAATGAAAATAATTATCAGAGAATTAAAATGAGAAAAAATATGTTTGCTAATTTCTGTCTTTCTTCTTTAATAGAACTGACATTCTCTACCCCAGCATGAAAGCTATAGCTAGGCAGATGGGGAAAGAAGATGAATTTGAAGGATTTATAGTAAATAATCAGTCTGTTCTTCCCCCCAGTGGAGCCTCAGAAATTGAAATAAAAACTCACCAGGTATGCAGGATATATTTTAAATTTGCCTTTGAAAATGTCCTTTATGGCATTAGCATGTAAAACTACAGACATACCAAAATGGTATTTTTTCTAAGAAGCTAAGTGTAAATTGCAGGGTTGCAAATCATTGAATGGGCTGGAGGGAGGGCAGGACTAAGTATTTAAAGGCGTGTGGGGCTTTGATGAAGCAAATTACTTCCCTTAATGTCCCTGTTCTATAAGTTTGGATTTTTATCATTTTGATTTTCCTCAAATTGATGTGTACCTTCATAAGAATGATGATAGAAAACATAACCACTATCTTAAGCATAAAATTTAGCATGCAGGTAGCCACATGGAAATAAAATATTTTTAAAAGCGCCCTGTAATTATTTTTCTGAGAATAAGAAAATGCCCACTCGATATGTGTAAGATGATCTGTGTGGAGAAGTTGTTTTCCCGAGTCTTTGTTCAGCTTGGTCCTGGGACTCAAGCTTTCTGTGGCTGGGCTTATTGTACCAGGCAAGCAAAGCCTCGGCTGTTTGGTTGTCAATGCAGAGATGCCCATCCGCTGAGCAGCACGGAGAAGTCAGCCCCTGTCAGGCCCCAGTGCCAAGCTCACTGCTTACCCTTCTAAGCCCTATTCCTTTCCAGCACCTGGGGGCCTTCAACAGGGAGAAACATGAGCTCTGCAAGCGTAATAGATTGAGTAAGGGCTCACAGTTTTTGGAAGACTTTTCTGTTGGTCCTACATGGAGTTTTAAATCTTGTAAAATCTTCCTTGGTATCTAAATCAAGTTTTATACCTGAGGGCTTCTTCTTCTTCTTCTTTTTTTTTTTTTTTTGAGATGGAGTCCTGCTCTGTTGCTCAGGCTAGAGTGCAGTGGCACGATCTCGGCTCACTGCAATCTCCGCCTCTCAGGTTCAAGTAATTCTCCTGCCTCAGCCTCCCAAGTAGCTGGGATTACAGGTGCCCAGCTAATTTTTTTATTTTTAGTGGAGATGGGGTTTCACCATCTTGGCTAGGCTGGTCTTGAATTCCTGACCTTGTGATCCACCCGCCTCGGCCTCCCAAACTCCTGACCTCGTAATCTAATCGCCTCGGCCTCCCAAAGTGCTGGGATTACAGGTGTGAGCCATTGCGCCCAGCTGAGAGCTTCTCTTATAATGAGAACTCACAAAATCCTAGCCACATTTAGAGACTCCAAAAGACATGAGGTCACCCCGGGTATTGAACACTTTGCAATTTAGCAAAACTTGGTTTGAAAAAAAGATTATATTTTATCAATGAGGATGTAAACCAGGAAGAACAGGTGTTGTTCTCCAGAGAGGTACATCTGTGCCCCCAGAAGCACTTGGGAGACCTAGAAGGGAAGCATTCCTTCTTTCTCAGGAGAGTAGCTGAGGGGCAGGCCCTAGCTCAAAGCCCTTTTTCAGGAATATGACACGGGACCCAAAATATAAGCTGAATGTAGAGAGTGACCCTCAACCTATGCTTACTCTAGCTTCAAAAACTTCTGGAAAATTTTGAAATTCATATGATCCAAGAGGTACTAAGAAAAGTTAACAGAGAGATGATACTGCTTTTATCAGAAAAGTCCAAGAAGGAGTGTTCTCTCCCTACAGGTAAAATACCTTTATTTTGTTACTTCACAAAATAATTTCCTAATTACGAAAGCAATTCATGTATCGACATTTGTTGTAAAAACAAGCAAAAACCAAAAAATCAGTGCAATGCCCAGAAAATGATATAAAAATGACTTTTTACACCTTGACCCTGTGCAATGAAAGGGCGAGCCTATCCCCAGCTGGGCGTCTCTAACTGCCACCCGAGAGCTGAGTGTGGCTGAGCTCTAGTTATAGAACTTGCAACAAGACACAAAGCACTTTGGTATATTTCTTTCCCTGTACAAAGGCTTTATTTAAAAAAATAGAAAACATAGTTTCAACTCTACTGATTAACTCGTAACTGAAATAGAGTTGAAATGAAGGGAAAACCTAAAGCCTTTCTTATTTGTAACGTACGTAAGTTATGATGTGTCAAATTCGTAAATGTAGGGTGTGAAGGCAATCAGAATGGTTTCCTTCCATCTGAGGCCCAAACTTGAGGCCACTTCATGGGCATGTGACACGCAGGATGCAGAGGGACACTTGGGGTTTCATGTTCTGTGGTCACCATCCTGAAACTTTTAATGGTTTAACTTTGAATGTGTTCAAAGTTACAATTCCAGGTACCTAAAGTGGGCAGGGGGCTTGTCCTCACTGAGCTACCCGTTGAACACATGGTGTTGCTACCAGCCTGGGACCCCTGAGATGCTGCTGGGTGCACACGCCTGACCTTGACCCTCCCCGCACCCAGAGGGGAGGGGAACCTTGGCACAGGGAGGGTCAAGGTCAGGCCTGTGCACCCAGCAGCATCTCAGGGGTCTTAGGCTGGCAGCACTGCCATGTGTTCGATGGGTAGCTCGGTGAGGGTGAGCCTCCTGCCCACCTTGGGTACCTGGAATCTCCCAGGACAGAGGTTGCAGTACTCTTGGGGGTTGCCTTTCCACGGCGGATTGGGGTGGTGGGAAGGGGAGATGCCTGACTCAACTTCTCATCCCCAGGCAGGGCCTGGTGCCTCAGTCTGGTGACTGGTGGGTCATGCATATTCACACACTGAGTCACAGGTGGGGCCACTGGATGCTTATGGGGGTCTCACTTGCCCTGCACGTATTCCCATGACCAAGAGAGTGCAACGTTAAAAGCGAATAAAAACACCATGACAGGTCAAGAGAGAGACTGCAGAAGAAAGGGAAAAGGTTTATCTTTTAGTACCTGTGTGACACTTTTTCCTGCTTTTAGAAAGAGGTCCTACATTTTTATTTTGCACCAGGCCCCTGCGTTGTGTAGCTAGTCCTGTCTGAACTATAATATCTATTCTTAACTTTGAATATTCTGTAGGAAATTCATAACCTTTGAGCTAGGGAGGAGTTGTCTGACTACAAACTTAAATTAGGTTTTCCTTTTGAGACAAAGTCCACAGACATTGTAATGTTAATTAATAACCTCTGTCCTCACCTAAGACATAGTCATTTTATTAGTGCTTCAAGTAACTGAATTCTGTAAACAGGACCCTGTGCAATGAAAGTGCGAGCCCCTCCCCAGCTGGGTGTCTCTAATGCCACCGGAGAGCTGAGTGTGGTTGAGCTCTAGTTACAGAACATTCAACAAGACACAAAGCGCCTGTTGTTTGTGCTGTGTTTGCTGCTTCCAGGCGGCTCCCTTCCGATTCCTTGGAGAAAACCCACAAGCCTGCAGCAGGTGCAACCATCTGCACATGTTGGAGCCGTGGTTCCTATGAGACACCCGGGGTGAGGGGCTGTGGGGAAGCATCTTTGCTTTGTGGTTGTGCTGCTGTGTGCAGGGTGCCTGTCAGCTGTGCTTGCAAAGGGCCTTCAATGCAGTGGGGGGCAGGCAGAGGGGAGGGGTAGAGTTATTTTTAACAGTGGCAAGGTTGATATTACAAAGCCTCACCTTGGATGGAGTGTGCTGGCCAATTCTAAACTCTTGTTTGATTCTATACTTACAAGACTTTTAAACTCCATGCCAATATCGAAGGGAAAGGGTGGTTGTTTCTGGTTCCATTTTGTTTTGTTCTTTGGTCTGTCAGGCATGACTTGGTGTGGAGACCTGGATCTCCACCTCTACTGAGTTCTCCTAATTCAAGCGATTGAGTCCTCACTGTGTGCCAAGGTGCTTTGGTATACACTTCTTCGGTGTCATCTTCCTGAGACCACTGTGGGCTTGGTGCCTTCAAAGAAGGCAATAACATATTGGAATCCCCACCTACCTATGGTTTATCTTGGCAGCAAGAAGTAGCCATAGTGAACAGGGCTTCCAAGCAGGGGCTGCCTCTTCATGCAGAGATCACCCTTTGTGGCCAAGGTTAGCTTGGGACCGGAGGTTTCTCCAGAGGAAGTTAGGAATGGAGAGTATTGAGAACCAGGGGGACAGCAAAAGCCCATATCCTTTTCCTCAGGGTCTTCTCCTTCCCTATGGGCTGACTGACTGTAGTGTTGACATTTATATCTGCCAAAAAGAAACCCTGAGCCAGGTATGGTGGCACACTCCTGGAGCCCAGAAGCACCTGGGAGGCTGAGGCAGGTGGATCACTTGAGTTCAGGAATTTGAGACCAGCCTGAGCAACATGGTAAAACCCTGACTCTACAAAAAGTGAAAAAAATTTAGCTGGGTGTGGCGGTGCACACCTGTAGTCCCAGCTACTCAGGATGCTGAGGTGGGAGGATTGCTTGAGCCTGGGATGTTGAGGCTGCAGTGAGCCAAGATCGTGCCACTATACTCCAGCCTGAGTGACAGAGCAAGACTCTGTACAAAAAGAAAAAAAAAAAAAAGGAACCCTGGAATACTTCTCTCCCTCTCCCTCCTTCCTTCCCCCTCACCTTGTTTTGGAGCTTGATCATACAGCTTCTGAATGAGTTTCCGGTTTGTCATTGAGCCTCTGAGGATGTGGCATCCAGACCTGGCCCTGGTGCTAGGTCTCGGTAGCTGAACTAGTAGCCCCCTGAAAACTATCTAAAGTAGCTCCAGACATCTTTGTTCAACCCCCGGGGCTTATCTTAGCAGAGATGGCCCCATTGGTTCACAAAGATTCTGCCATCCCTCATCTTTGATGTTTTGGCATTGAAGTGATTTTTAGTTGATTTTCTAATTTTCTCTGAGCAGTTATAAGGCCAGCAGTCTCCAAAGTAGAATGCATATATCACAGGGGTGTGGGAAGAAAATATTAGAACTTCTAAATAGATTAGAGCCATATGTAAGGAGTCACATGCACACTCTACACTGAGGTGTCCTGAAGTGACCATGGGCAGGCAATCCACAAGTAATGAGAAAATAGTAGAGGTGACACTTCTAATCCTAGTGCATGCTTATCCTCAGCCACATTATGAGGTCAGAAAAGATGATCTAATCATATCTGATAAGAAGATAGACAATAAATTTTTCTTTTTTTTTGAGACAGTATCTCACGCTGCCACCCAGGCTGGAGTTCAGTGGTGCCACCATAGCTCACTGCAGCCTTGAACTCCTGGGCTCAAACGATCCTCCTACCTCAGCCTTCCAAGTTGCTAGAATCACCAGTGCACACCACCATGCCCAACTAATTTTTAAAAATTTTTTGTAGAGCCATCCTCTTGCTGTGTTGCCCAGGCTGGTCTTGAATTCTTCGAGTGATCTTCCCACCTCTGCCTCCCAAAGTGCTGAGATTATAGGTGTAAGCCACCTGCCTGGCAGACAAAAAAAATTGTAAAAAGTCAAGGAAACTATTGGGAATGTGGATTGAGATCCATTCTCATTGTTGAAGAATCCTACCCTAAGTATATCATGCTTTGTGATATTCACTATTGGTAGTATTGTAGGTAGTTATAAATACACATAAATAAAATAAAATATAAAATATATGAAAATAATAGTATAGGATAATAAATATAATCAAAATGTAAGTATACATATATTATTAAAGGTGAGATATCAACAATGTTTTGCTTCAAGAGAGCATAATCAAAACAGTTCTTAGAAGAGCATCGTGTCAGCCAGCATTTCCCCAGCAGTGCCATGGAACACAAGTTCCTCAAGACATTAAAGCAGTAGTTCTCCCAGCCCTTCTTTGCTAACAGGCTTCTGGGTGACCTGACGCTTTCCATTCTCCTGGTAACATGAGCCAGCAAAGTGCTCACTAATCACAGTTTTTGGGTTGCATGTGTTTTACCTAGCATCACGAATCATTGTTTGCCCCAAACCTGTTTGTGCCTGTTTTAACTGTCATTGTGTTGAGATAATTTAATTAAAAACTATGTAAACCAGTGTAATAGAAATACAAAAAGAAAGAGATCTGTTGATTGTAGAAAAACTAAATTGAAATTGATCATCTGTAGCACATCTAGTCAGTGAAACATTATCAAGCATTAAAAAGAAATGAGCTGTCAAGCCATGAAAAGACATGGAAGAGGCTTAAATGCATATTACTAAGTGAAAGAAGCCAATTTGAAAAGGCAACATATTGTATGATTACAAATATGACATTCTGGAAAAGGTGAAACTATGGAGAGAGTAAAAAGATCAGTGCCTGCCACCATTTAGGAGGGTAGGAAGGAGGACTAGGCAGAGCACAAAGGATTTGGGGGCAGTGAAACTATTCTGTATGATACTAACATGGTGTATCCATGTCATTATACATTGTCCAAGCCCATAGGATGTAGGACACTAGGAGTAAACCATAATGCAAACTATAGGCTTTGGATGATAATGACATGTCAATGTAGGTTCACTGATGGTAACAAATGCACCCTCTGGGGCAGGACATTGATGGTAGAGAATGTGTGTGAGGACTGGGAGCTTATGGGCCCTCTCAATACATTCCCTCCATTTTGCTATGAACCTAAAATTGCTCTTAAAAATTTAAATGTATTTGAAAAAGAAAATAAAGTAAAATGCCCAGGCGTGGTGGCTCACACCTGTGATCCCAGCACTTTGTCTTGGCCAGCATGGTGAAACTCTGTCTCTACTCAAAATACAAAAATTAGCCAGGCATGGTGGCGGGCACCTGTAATCCCAGCTATTCAAGAGGC